TCAGGCGGCGGCTGCTGGGACGTCCGGGAACGTCGACCTCTTGAAATTCGCCTGGCAAGTGCAAAAACAATACTACTCAATGGGTGTTTCGGTCGATATAAAAAAAGGTTTGGGGCTGAGCCCCTTAGGACCTTAGGTGTTGCCCTTAAAGTTCCCTGGACAAGAAACGGTAAGACGCTAGGGGACCAGCAAGCATTATGTTTCTCCGCGCAGAACTCATGCAAGCCATTAATTATTTGCTCAATGGATAGAACTTAGATAAAAAACGGAAACTACTTCAGGAATAACCCCTCGTTCGTGAGATTCACGCAGCCTAAGGGGAAGATGTCAAAGGGTACACCGGTAGGCGTTTGGCCAGAATCGACCAGACCATGGTCCCTGAAACCTTACTTCGGTATAATATGACTAAAAAACCAAAGACTGCCACTGGGTAGGTCATATATCCGTGATTAGTGAAAGGGCAGACTTTCAAGACACTCATTTCACAGGGAAGATGGGAATGCTGAGCAGCTGTCTTTACGTTAAGTTTTAGTTATATGCAGACCCAACGGAGAATTTAACACCGGTATCTAACAGAACTCAGATTAGTACACAAATGTGCTTGTCATGGAGCACTCCTCCAAAAGTTAAAGAACTACGGGATTAACTGGCCTGGAAAGGATACCCAAACGGCTCCGTTAGTTATTGCCTCCGTACGCGCCTACGGGAGTCAACAAGGGAGAGCAGCAAACACTGGCACCCCCTACGACATACAAAGAATGCGTTTGGCGCGGCTATCGCCCATCGGCCGGAAACTACCATGCGTCCCCGAATTGTTAGAATGAAGAACCGACGAGACACAGGTGTAGCTTATCGAATTCCGTGCCGTGACTGTGCGCTTCATTACACAGGGCAGGTCGGTCGAAGACGCAACTCGCGCTTACGCTAGCACGAACGGAAAGATCGGAGAAGCGACCCACTGTCTCAGATCGCTACTCACACCCTGGAGGAAGACCATGAATTCAACTTCGCGATCACGCGCCAGGAATATAACGGAACAGTGACATCTGGCGTACTGCGTCACTGACAGACGCGCTGACAACTCTCCATCCTGATATCAAGGGCGTCGTTAATCGCCTGTGCGCATAGCTTATCATTCACAGCCGTAGAGAAGGACAGACCGAACGGATTTACGTGAACCTTCGTGGCAATGGAAATATCGCGTCGAGTCCACAAGTGATATACCATCTAGTACCATTATCCGACATAGGGATTCGCGACATAATCTAACACAGTGGCAAAGTCAACAAAGCAGACGGCCGTTGGTCGCTATGACGCAATGCAAGGGTGCCTGCCAGTGTGAATGTCTGGTCCGCACATCAGTGAAGATAACTAACTTTGTGGATAAGATCGCGGGGTTTTCGAGTATCATCAACGTTCGAAGCCGGCTCCATGAAGGCCGCCGTTTCAGCCCAGTATTTTTTCCGGTCTCTTTTAAGGTGACTGCAGTATTCACATCCATCTCACAGAATTTGGCGAAAGAGGCATATGACGAGGCGCGGAGGTCACTCAACACTGAACACATAAAGGGACTATTTAAATTCTATCAAAAATCTGCTCCACCTCCGCCGGAGAAATGTAAGAGCAAATCAAAGGAACTCTAGTGGGTTCCCCAATCTCGGACCGTGTAATATCAATTTATCAACGGCAATATGCCTCCTCTTTAAGAACAGTCGTTCGCGTTTACTGCTGTAAAGCTTAAGGAGACACACCGGGTTGTTTAATATCGTTTAAAATGGGTTTTCTTGCTG